CAGATGTTAAGTACCTTGACAAACTCCTTCAGGTGACTGGGCTCTCAGGAGCCAAAGAGAGATACAAGGCAGCCCCGTTTCCCACCGGAGGGTTGCCAACTGACCTTGAGTCAGACCGTGACCTCGACCCCACTGCTGCGACGAGGTACAGGTCAGCGTTAGGCATCCTCATGTACTTGAGTGCAGATCTTGTGGCATGTCTTTGAATGCTTTAACAAACACAAACGCGGCAGCCACGTGTCGCTCGAGGGATGTGGTGGCAAGTCGCCCTTCCCAGTCTGCTCTCGTGGTTGCAACCCTGCCCTCGTACTTCAGTTGCTGAGACCATTTTGTTCGGAGGGGTGTGCTGGGTCTCTGGGTTCCTTACTGGGGGCCTGCTTGCCACTTTCCTGATCTCGGCTAGGTGTCGTCACATTGCTTGGGTTTGTGTCAGCGAGTTCCTAAGAGGGCCACCCATCCTATCGCCTGAAGAGCGCATAGCTGCCTACCGCCGCCATTGAGTGGCGCATGAGTGCCAGCTGCCCTACTTCTGCGCGTGTGACGGTGAAAGTGGAGGTGACCGTGCCCCTCCCAGCAACCTCGGCGTCTGTGACGGTGTCTGAGGGGGCGACTGAGTGGGTAGTGGTTGAGAGATCCCCGAGAAAATTGCTCCCAGCTGTGTGCTCGCGCTTGGCTACCAGACTCTCCTCGAAGGCTAAAAGCACTCCGAAGGATCGCGTGGAAGCGGCCTTTGCTGCCGGCTTGCGTAGCGAGTCGCTTTTGGAGGCAGGGTCTGAGCCTGAGACCCCTCCTTCCGTGGGACTGCAGAACACTTGCTGGGTTGGAGTACAGTCTGCGAAGCACACTTGGTGGACATCTCGGCGACCCACTGCAGACAAGATCTTGAAAGGAGAGCCCGAATCTTGGCTTATCCCCTTTGCATCTCAAGCCGAGGCTGAGGCCTGGTGTTTGGGTTTTGGTCTTCACGGCTTGCCGGATCGTCGTTGAGATGCCCTTGCGGGTACTAGGTGCCAAGAAAGCTGCCAGCCTACCCCTGGCAGACGAGGAGGATTCAGAATGATGTTGAAGCTGGAGCCCCGGAACATAGGGGCCTTGCCGGTGCTGCGTCGCGAGGTGGGGACTCCTGTTGGCCGTGGCTGCCTCGGCCCTCACGACCGAGGAGCTCGATTCTCGCAAGATTGTGGGAGTAACAGACGATCTGGGCTTGGTGGGTCAGGTGGATGTGCGCGCCACTTTGACCGATGCCCAGCCAGTGGAAGTATCACTGTTACTCTTCGATTGGCCCAGCACCTTGAACAAGTACCTACGATGGGGGGTTCCAGAAACATGGCCTCCGCACACGGTGCTACCCACCCATGGGACGTCAACGGAGCTGACCTTGGATCGTGCTCATTTATGCGACGTGGCTCGCGCATGGGTGGAAGAGGGTCAGATGGCTTTTTCCGAGGCTTATTTGACTGGTGTGGATGGAGAGCCGCTGGAACCGCCTGCCCAGGTATCCAACGATCTACTCAATCAACTCCTCACGCAGATGCAGGATACCGCCAAAGCAGTGGCAGGTCTGCGCTCCGAGATGGATGCAGTCAAGCAGGGGGCCTCTTCCTCAACGCCTTCGCCGAAACCTACTGGAGTCAACTCGGGAGCCTTAGCTCAGGTGCAGGCGTTGGCGGGACCAGTCCCTCGTACCAAGGCCCGTGCCCAAACGGCAGAGGCAGCCGGGGTGGAGATTCTCGGAGACGACATGCCAGAGGCCGAAGAGGAGGACGAGGACGAAACCAAGTCCACCGACGCGCTGCTCAAGATGGCCTTGGTCAAGCTCTTGGCAGGGGAGGGCAAGAAGAAGAAGAAGAAGGAGACTCCTGCTGGGCTTCCGGGTACATTGGGTGACGAGTCACCCCA